TCACTCTCTGTTTCTGTTTGGCCACAAGAAGCAAAGAAAAGTGGTGGAGCATGTGATTAACTCTCCTGTCCATCAACGTGACTCTGGTGGCTTTTGGTGATTGGCCGCTTGGGCAACTAGCATTGTCACATGGGGGGTGGAGAGAACCCTCAACCTTGTGCAAACTCTAAACTACAAATTAGAGATAACGAAGGGCTCATTTTCTTTGTTTCTGGAGGCTGAATGAATTGGTGGGGGAGTCAGGGGAACACAATAAAGGCTGGTGGAGCGGCCATTAGAGTGAACCTTCATGCACAAAGAACTAGAGCTGCAGCTAACGATTATTTTCAAAATCGATTAGTTAGCCGATTATTAAGTTCGATTAATCGGTTAATCGGATAAACAATAAAAAAAAAATTAAAAATGGCTCCAGTGATGGGCTACTAGTTTGTATTGAGATTGTAGTCAATCACAGGAGCAAGCTTGGAGCGGTGGAATAAAATAGTGTGGTGTGCAATATAGTGAAAAGGAAAGTGTAAAATTATACAGCAATGAATGCAGAATGGCACCGGCTATAGAGGACTACAAATCCCAGCAATAGTACATTATACAGCGCAATGCAGAATATCACCAGCTATAGAGGACTACAACAAATCCCAGCAATAGTACATTATAGCTGGTGGTATTCTGCATTGCACTGTATAATGTATTATTGCTGGGATTTGTAGTCCTCTATACAGTGCAATGCAGAATATCACCAGCTATATAGGAATACAACAAATCCCAGCAATACATTATACATACAGTGTATAATGTATTGCTGGATGTGTATTCCTATGTATAATATACAGCACAATGTACCATCAGCTATAGAGGAATACAAATCCCAGCAATACATTATAGAGCACCATGTGTGGGAAGTGCAGGCTTACCTGAGCAGTCTTCCAGCAACTTGCTTCTGAGATCGGACCTGTCTATCAGCGGCTGTCATCCCCCCACACCTGCTCCTCCTTACTACATCTCCCCGCGTCCCTGTGCCAATCGTGGATGTGGGCGGGCGGTGAGTGTGAGGCGGGGAGGAGGTGCGGCGTGGATGCGGGCGGGCGGGTCTGGCAGCGGCGAGCGTGAGGTGGGGAAGAGGTGCGGTGCGCAGCGTGTGTGGAGCCGTGAACAGGGCCAACTGATCGGAAGCCGATTAATCGATTATTGAAAAAGTTGACAACTTTTTCAATAATCGATTATAATCGATTATGTCGATTAGTTGTTGCAGCCCTACAAAGAACAGGTTGAGTTTTCCGGAGATGTCATCTTTGGTCAGCTCACCATTTTTATCTTTAACAGTTAATACAAACCCTGATCAAATATTTCATATTTCATACCCCCGTGTCTCTGCCTGCCCTCATTTGTACATCATTTTCTTGTTCCACTGATCTGTACCCGAGTCTCCTCTGCTGGATCTCCTTGTTTGTTGTTGGTTTAATTGACTCGTTTTCTTTGATGCCCACTGTAATTGTGTGTATATTCTCAGAGTTTAGCAAAATGTACAATATTGGAAAAATACTGCAATACACTGAAATATAATATACAAAAATATCCAAAGCTAATGGAAATAAATCATTCTTAACACACCACAATTTCTTCATAGACTTTCAATGTACAATACTTTAGCCGTTAGAGATGATCCTGGAAATTGGATAATGTTAAAATTTCACCACATTTAATTAATTTGGATGTCTGAAGCCGACGACACATTTCAGTGTTATTGTTGGCTTCCCAAAAAGCTACTAGGAGAAAGGCTCCAAAGGCTGTTATCTTCCTTATATCTGCTTTGGCTGTTGCCTGATAACCCTTAGCTTGACTTCTAGTGCCACCAGATCCCATTCTTCCATCTTAATATCTCTGGTAGCATTTTTAAAGGTGAGTGACTTCGTCTGTGTTTGTACTCCATCATCTTGTCCATCTAGGCCAACAGGAGCTTCCCAAATCATTATGCACAATTCTGCATTGTTTGCTGCTCTGTAACACAATGGCCCTTCCGGTAAAAGCGGAACCAGACCCACCAATGTAATGGTCTCCCAAAACAGTTACTTTCAAGGAAACTCAGGGTTGCTAATGTGCTTATTTCAGCTCCCAACCGAAATTTCAAGCCTGATCACATGTACAGCACCATGTCAACTGCAATCCACATGGAGGGCAAGATGGCACCTTCCTTGGCTGTAAGCCCTCATTCACACTAGAAAAGGCCAACACGTACAGCTCTGTGCTGCGCCCACGGCCGTATTGGGCAGCTCTAGGGAAGGACAGGTGCTGCATGTGATTAGTACGCAGCCCCTGTCCTTCTCTATGAGAATATGCGGCCATACACCCCCCTATGCTCACCTCAAGTGCCGGTCCGTACAGGTGCGTGTGTCCCGGCTCAGACGAAGACAGGATCCATCCTGTCAACGTACGAGTACGCTCACCCGCACCGACGTGCAGGGCGGGTGAGCATAGGACGGGGTACGGCCGCGTAGTCCCATAGAGAAGGACAGGGGCTGCGTACTAATCACACGCAGTACCTGTCCTTTCCGGGAGCTGCCCGATATGGCCGTGCACGCAGCACAGAGTTGTACATGCGGGCTGATTCCAGTGTGAATGAGGCCTAACAGTTAGGAGGTTGTAGTTTTTCTTTTGAAAATCTGATTTTAGACGTTCGCAAAACTTTTAAAAAGATTGGCTGAACAAGCATCTGCCTATGAGCTTCCCAAGCAGCCAAGTGCAAAGATCTATGGGAGTGGGATCCCAAATGCATAAGATAAACGGGTGTGCAGTGAATCATGCGTAATAAACCGGGGTGAGGGGAATGCAGTTTGGCTTCCTTACCCTGGACACTGTATGACCTTGTACGGGCACTGCAAGCTGTGCTAAACTTACTTTGGTAAAAAAAAACACACACATGTACAGCAAGAGCACACTAGCCAAGTCACACTAGCAAAATCACTAGTGATTATTCACTAAGAATAGTAACTGATGGCTGCACAGATGAAACGCATGGCTCCCTATGGGGGAAGCTACACAAGTACATGGAGTATGGATTAATCACACACAACTGGACCTTTCGCGATCATGTGTTTAAGCTCTCTGTTTAAATCCATGGTTGTCAACTTACAGGGTGTAGGGGTCTTCAACTGTGGCCCCTCACAGCTTCGCAGGACCGCACATAATATTCAGTATATGACAGAAGACTATCAGAGACTTCAGACACACTGGAGGAGATGATCGGAGACTGTAGACATTCAACATGGGGTGGCTGTAGACTGAACACACACCACAGGAGGTGGTCAGAGACTGAAGACATGCTACATGAGACTGCTAAACATCGCTATCATTAAAGCCTCTTTAACAAACGCTACTCACTACTGAGGTTGGCAAAGGCCACAGAGCCAGTACCAAAGGGCCTCATGTGGCCCTTGAGCCACAGGTTAGGGAACTAGGGTGTTAAGTAATGAATGGAGACAAGAAACACACAAAAAAAGAGTGTATTTGTTCTGCGCCCCTAGCTAAGAGAAAAGATCTTAATTATGTATTAATTATCGTGTTCTATTATTGTGTTCACAGGAGAGTGACAACCTAGGAATGACCAGTTTGGCATTACCACATGGTAACGCCTGCCCTAAAAATGGCACCACCCTGAGGCATAACTAGAAATCACAGGGCCCCATAGCAAAATTTGTATGGGGCCCTGTGATTTCTAGTTACACCCACATGATAACTCAAACAGCCCACTTGAGAGTGACCCTGCAGAGCCCACCACAGACTCTCTCTCGACCCAGGTTGGCCGCGCGGCATGAGGGGAATGTCCTGGCCGGGTCCCCCTGTGCCCTGGGCCCCAGAGCGGCCGCCTGGGTTGCTATTCGTTTTGTTCCGAATTGAAATTCATACGAATTTTCCGAAATTTTGACATTCAGACACATCCGAGGCTCCTAGGTCCAAATGGCATTCGGGATCTGAATTTCCAAATTGCATTAGGGAGCTCCCGAATGCCATTCTGGTCTGGGAGCCATGTACATATATTACTAAAGCTGAGGCTCCCAGACCCGAATGGCATTCGGGAGCTCCACAATGCAATTCGGAAATTCGGATCCCAAATGCCATTCGGGTCTGGGAGATTCAGCTTTAGTATTAATATCTGTATATGGTTTTCTGTGGTATTCGCAACGGATATTCGTAAACTCATCCGGAACTAACTACATTCGGTTTTCGACCGAATACGAAACCTGAACCGAATTGAATTTCGGATTCGAATCCTGAATGCCAAAATAACGAAATACCTGAACCGAACCAAATTTTTCCACAGCTTACATGTCTAGTATGCTGCAGGATACAGACATCACATGACATGGATTACAAGATCAAACAACAGCACAATAATGGTGCTGACAGAAATTAAAGCTGAATATTTATTTCTGAACTGTAACTAAACTGAGTCCTTCCCATGGTTGGTGCAGTGATGGAAGCGAAGATACTGCGGTAGCTCTCAATGATCTGGAAAAAAATACATTATCTTTTACTATGTTGTTTTGTACTGTATTAGATCATATTACATATTATTATACATTCAATAAATTAGCTTGAAAATACATGATAAGGACAGAGTATAGCTGCAAAGGAATATTGTACTTGATTTAGTCATTACTTGGGCAGACCGGACAACCATGATGGTACCTGGTCCTGGTATTCTGGGAACACCTAAACTGCAGCAAAGTGATTCTACAGGCCAGACGTCTTGTCCCCAACCTCACCCATCAGAGCTTTTCTGAGGTCTAATATGCATAACCTTACGTATTCAGAAATAAATGATTCAACCCTCTTGCTCCACTCCTATTGTGGTCTACTGGAAGGTTTCCATGCGGGAAGAAGTGGCACAGACCAGAATGTCAGGAGGCTGCGGTGCTGCCCCAGATGCATTATAAAAGCCCTGCTTCCTTTTATGTATTTGCTGGAGTAGGGGCGAAGAGGGATACTATACAGTGTCACTTGAGTGACAGCTTTGAGTCTGCTGGGACTGCTGACATCATATTGAAGATGGCGGCACCCACCAGCAGCCTCGGGCTTTTGGATGTCTACACAAGTGAGACTTTTGCAGGTAAATAACATGTCTCATATATACGTTAAGGGGACACTTATGGGAGGATTTTTATTGGAATTAAAGGTCTGGCCACAGGGTCTCTTGCGGGAGAAAGCTCTGATTGGGGAGGCCCCTTGCATCCTATGTGCCGTGTACTTGTTTCAGGACATTGAGTGCACCAAAACTCATGCGGTCTGCCAGGAATGGCTGTTTCCATTGAAAGCTTCTCACAAGGGTTGGCAGTGTATTGTACTTTCCATAGGTGGTTCAGATGTAACTTTGCAGCACACCTTGACTTTGCAATGTGTGGAGATGTTATTATTACCTTATGTGAAGCGTCAGATAGAAAGAAGCTTTACATGACAAAGTCAACAGACTATAACTCTTCAAAAATCGCTTCGGTACCTTTTGTTTTATGCGTGGGAGCTTGTCGATCCGGCTGCTTTCTTTTTTACAGGTGGGGGAAATTTTGGATAGTGCGGGAGAGCGCCATAAACTGAGGATATAGAAGAACATTGATGTAGTTCATCCCTGAGATAATCGTTATTACTATTCAATTATAATGCTCCTTTGTTCATTCCATAAGATACTGACACGCACAGAGGCGTATGTGCCGCAAGGCAAACAAGGCATTTGCCTTGGGCGGCACTTTTCATGGGGGCGGCAAAAAACTACGCCACCAAACCAGTGAGGCAGAGCCTCACCTGCCATTTTCAGTATCGGCACCAATAATGGTATCAATATTGATATTGGGCATTTTCACAAGTGCTTGTACTTCCTGTGGAACCATGCCAACCGCATCTTCCCACAAGACCATACGGACCCATGGTGAGAACCCACACAGCCCTCCTAAGACCCCGCACAGCCCACCTGAGAGCCCATACAGCCCAACTGAGAGCCTGCACAGAGTATGTAGCTGCATATTATTCTGCATTGCTGTATAATGTATTGCTGGGATTTGTAGTCCCTGCTATCAGCTGACAGTGCAGAGCCACGTTGCAACAGGGAAGGTGCCCAAGTGACAGCTGGCTCTGCCTCTATATAGCCAGAGCCAGCTGTGCCCGCCCCCCTTTCTTGTCTGTCCCTTCAATGAGCACTGGAGGGGTAGGCGGAAATCCCTGACTGACAGTTGCTGCTCTCTGTAGGGAACAGAAACTGAGAGCTGAGAGATCAGTGGTCATGTGATCAGTCAGTTCTTGTTATAGTTCCGGCGTGGGACAGCTTCAGTTCCCACGCCAGCTCTAAGCAGCACGGAGAATATGTTTTATGCACGTCTCTTATAAATGACAGTGGTTTTTGGTCTGCCGGTCTCATTTGACTTTTAACACATGAGCCCTAAACTTCGAGCCCTTAATATAACGGCCCCCAGTTTCATTGACAGCAGCCTCACCGGAGATACAGCACTCCTTATGAACCCAGTTTGCTTAACCATGAACTACCGATAAATCAAACCCAGTGCCTCTGATATACATGTTCCAGCAATGTATTTCTGTAAGTGTCCCTGCTGCAGATTTTCCTTCACTTCCTCTCTGGTACAATGGTTGTCAGCAGGACAGGAAGTGAGGAATAACATCAATTAGGACCTTGCATTGTATACACAGGCCAACATTTTTATTTTTAAGTTTTGGATAAAAAAATGGTTAAAACCCTTATCAGATTTTTTTTTTTTGCAATCAGTGTCCTGTTGGGGTGAGTTCCCCTAACTTCCTATCCTAGAGATGCAACAGGAAGTGAGAGAAAACCTCCCTAAAGTGAGGGCAATTCAAATCTTAGACAGTTGGCAGCAGTACAGGTGTCCCCATTGGCAGATTTTCAATAGTCACCAGGAAAAAGCACTAACAATAAATACCCGACACATAATAAATAGCCGACACATAATAAATAGCCGACACATAATAAATAGCCATCACATAATAAATAGCCGTCACATAATAAATAGCCGACACATAATAAATAGCCATCACATAATAAATAACCGACACATAATAAATAGCCGTCACATAGTAAATAGCCGTCACATAATAAATACCCGACGCATAATAAAGACCCGGCATAAAAAGAAAACCTTTGCCTTGATATACACTCCGAGCTGTGTCAGCTAATGAGATCTGGGAAATGACGGCTAACCCATCAGGTACTCCATCCCTATCACATTTGCCAAATTTTCCTCACCATCATCTTGGCCATAATGTTCGACCTTCAACGTCAGTGAAGGCTCCTCGTTTGCATCCCGGCGACCTCTGCTACAGATGGGAGGAGCAGCAATTATTTAACAAGATGGAAATATGTATTATAAGATACATGCACATATTCCTAAGAACAATGTACTTATGTGTGGCCCCTCAGATGCACACTGGTTGGGCCAGACAAAGAACCCTGTAGAGCCAAAAGCCATAATTACTGGGGTCAGTAGCTTCCCTATAGAATAGTAATTGATGTCTCTGCTGTTATACAGAAGGAAATCCTGCAAGGAGGAGATAACAGGGCCTGTCCCTGCTGTGGCTACTCCCCACTGATAAAGACGCAGGCCGTGTGCATGAGCCCAAACGGATCTACTTGTTTGTATTGTTTTAAAGTTTAGGGTCATATGCATTTATAATAAAAGGTCAGTGTGGGGAATTAAGACTTACCTTAGAGGCATCGGGGCAGCCGAACAAACGTCAATAAAAACCGTCAGGCTCAGGAAAAACCCAAATAAAGGTAGACCGCACATTGTGATAACTGACCAGATGAGGCACCACAAGGTCATGTGACCCATTGTGACAGTTAGGGAGCGTTTGCACTAACTACTAACATACTGTTTACATTTTTTTAAACTTTAATAAAGTGTTACAATATGACATTTCATTTAAGTTAATGCACCGCAGCTGAGTTGCATCGCCGTGACCGGCGGTCACTTCAGGTGAGTTCTGCTGCATTGCAGAAAAGCGCATCAAGTCTGTGGTTTTCTGCAACACACTGCAACTTGCCTCAAGCCAGTGTTGCAGTGTGAACAGGGCACATAGAAAACAATTGTTTCCTGTGACCTGCGTTGTTCTGATGCAGGAAACATGGGTCACCGCGCATGAGTGCGAATGAGTCCATAACAACAACTAAAGCGCAACTTCGGTAAAAAAAAACTTTTTGCAATTTACTAACATCTTACCACTAATGATGGGTGTCTTTTCTGTGTCTGGCTGCTCCATTAGTTAAAACGTTTATTTGTATGCACCCCCAACCCTTCTGTAAGCGCCCAACTTCCACCAGCAAAACTCACAGTCCTGGCTCCAGTACAGAGAAGAAAAAAAGCGGGTCGCTCACTCAGCACTCTGACCATTCACAAAACGTCTTGTATTTTCTACACAGGACACAAGGCGTTCTGTAAATGATCAATGGAGTGCACATGGGGAGAGTAAATGCAGCAACAAAAGGGACACCCATCATTAGTTGTACGATATTAGTAAATTGCGAACAGCAAATAAAAGTTTCAGGGTCCATTCACACCGCATCATTGCGCTAATCACTTGTTTGGGCTCATTCACCAGGGCGTGCACGTCCGCAAGGCATGCACGCCTGTGCAAAAACCTGATTCCAGGTCTTTGCAATTACATGCAGCACCTGTCCCTGCTGGGATCGAGTGTTCGCACAGGCATGCATGCCGTACGGACATGCACACCCATGTGACTGAGCCCCTACTGTGAATTTAGCCCTTGCTATCACGCAACACATCTAGCATGCGGCACCGTGTGCAGGACCAGATAAAACCATCATGGGCCTGGTGTTGTCGGTCATATGGGAGGCAGCAGAGGCAGCTCTCTAAATAGGTGGCTGGAGCCTCTGATTAGAGAGCCGCCGGCACCTCTGCCTGATTATGTTCAGCCTGGCCGGCACGGTTTGCCATCAGGCATAACGAGGTGATCGAGGTCGGCTGGGCCTATTTTCAATGGTGGTCCTGGAGCTGGCGCTCCAGTAGCCACTATTTTAATCCAGCCCTGACCATGAATTAGGTGCATTGTGTTGCTAGTAATTTCAATAGCACCCCAACGCACTTCCCGGTGGCTGTGTGTTGCAGCGCAACAAACAGTACTGCAGCACCATGCATTGTGGCACAGTGGGAAAAATGTAGTGCATGCATGCAATTCATAGACACCAGGAGGTGCATTGGGGTACCATTGAAACTAATGGCACTTAGCAACATGAAACTGCACCCTAGCGATAGCATGCGATTAGCGCAACGCTCTGGTGTGAAAGGGCCCTCAAACTGCTCAAGTCACAAGGTTTTAAACAAGCATTACGATCTTTATTTTCAGCCATGTGAATCTCATTTTCACATCTCAGTATCCTTATCTCGTGTCGATGGGCTTTTGTTTGCGCCAGGGCTCCTTCACGCCAACCCACACACCTTATGCTCCATATGTGTGCGTTGTGTAGGGGTGGTGTGAAGCATTGTTACAATGTATCACACTTTTTACCTTATTTTTCTTTTTTCATTTTATTAAAGTGTCACAAAATGACACATTCTTTAACACGTTGCGATGTGATGCGCTGTGGTGCGCTGACATGCATGTAAAAATACAGACATGCTACATTTTTTAGACATGTAAGCTGCGGAAAACTTCGGTTCGGATATTTCGGAATTCGGATCCGAAATTCAGTTCGGTTTGGGTTTTGGATTCGGACGAAATCCGAATTTCGTTAGTTTCGGATGAGTTTACGAATATTTGTTGCGAGTAAAACAGAAAACCATATACATATATTACTAAAGTTGAAGCTCTCAGACCCAAATGGCATGCGGGACGGGAGCTCACAAATGCAATACGGAAATTCGCATTCCGAATGCCATTCGGGTCTGGGAGCCTCAGCTTTAGTATTATATGTATATACTGGATATGGCTCCCATGTTGCCATAACGACAATTCGTGTTCAGACCCATTCAGATGCATTAAACCGAAAAAAACATCCGATTGGCCAGAAAAGTCACATGTCCGATTCAGTTTAGTTTTTGAAT